ACTGGATGAACTAGAGTTCATACTAGAACTAGTATTGTTGCCTTGGAGTGTTAGAGTAGAGCTGAAATGAGGAATGGTGATATTAAAGTGAAACCATTCACTAGTTGGTATGTTTTCACTGGCTAAGTGCAGCTATTAAGATGCAGGCCTAGCATAGTTTAATTTAATTAGGGTTGTGGTTTAATGAATTGAGAAAGGGATTCAATGAATTGAGAAAGGGGCACAGGAATTGGAAATAATTGGAAATGATCTGAAGCTGGTTTAGGAGGGAAATGAGACTATGAGGTGAAGTACTGTGAAAAGCATGAAGATCAATTAATTGAGGCTCTTGATTGGGATAAAAGAACTGTTTCTTGGAGTTGGGATATTAGAAGGGCAGTGCTGGAAAGATAGAAAATGGGTGACTTGAAATAGAGATTATTGAAGGTTGTAAATATGACAATGATGAAGTCTAGGTTTTGACCATAGGCATGAGTGTCTGAGGTAAGGTGAAGAATAAGATATTTGAAGGAGAGGAGGTCAAGGAGTTGGGAGGGGAGGGATTAAAGATACCATCATGTTAATAGTCTGTAACTTGAGTCCATAAATGAAATTCAAGGAGTTTGTGAACTGGAATGGGGAAATTTTACATCTTTTTTTTTTTTTTTTACTAATTTTTAACTGAAATTTAACATTTCCTTCAATTATAAAATATAGGTACAAATCAATATAGTAATGGCAGTACCTGTGACTTTATCCCCAATAAAAATCACACTCATGTCATGTTGCAGGTTTTGCATATTTTTAAATCATTATTTATATTCATCTGCATTATGAGATAATTTTTATTAGATCCATTAAAGAACTTCTTAAAGTGTTAGTAACCATATATATTATATTTAAAAAATATTTTGATAGCTGTATTTCACTAAAGTTGCTTTTATTTGTAATTCTGTATTTTTTTCTGCTTTTAATATTTTATTCATAGAAGGAGTCCTTATGTTTCACTCCTGGACTTTTTTTTCTTTTTGATACCAAGAATTGAACCCAGGCATGCTTAACCACTGAGCCACATCCCTAACTCTTTTTATATTTTATTTAGAGACAGGGTCTCACTCAGTTGCTCAGGGCCTCACTAAGTTGCTAAGGCTGGCTTTTAATTTGAGATTTCTCCTGCCTCAGCCTTCCAAGTCACTGGGATTACAGGTGTGCACCACCCTGCCTGGTTTACTCCTTGACTTCTGGAGGGATTGAGGGCACATGTGCACACACATCACAAATTTTAAGGATTTTTGATATAAGAAGATATTGAAATCAGCAATTATTCCAGGAATGATATCGCAGGCCTTGACTCCAGAAGTTAAAATCTTTACGGAATGAGGGGAGTGAGGTCAGTAGATAAAGCAACTAGGAGAAGGGGAGAAGATTATGGCATGAGGTTTGAAGCTGGTGTTTTGTTTTGAGGAAGGAGAGTGAATTGTTCAGAAATGGCAACAAATCTCAAGAACCTTGCTTACAGGTCCAGTAAGAGACATGTAGAAGAGAAAGCAGCTACTATAACAGGACTACAAGGAAGGAATGTCATTTAGGGAGATTCATATTTTTGTTAGAGCAAGATGATAAACATTCACAGATGAGGCTGAGGGTATAGGAAATTGTGTTGATGATTGAACTTGAGAGGGCACAGAAGTGTTTTAGATGATGGGGAGTAGAAGGAGTTGGGATCTGAAAACATGATATATATAACCATATGACTCGTAGAATTCAGTGGATGCAGCTTGGGCTTCTTGTAGGAACTAATAGGCAGGGAGTGGGGACACTTGTGAAATTAGTTCTGATGATTCTGAGGCAAATAGCTGAATGCGATGCTGAAGGAAGCAACAGCAGGGCTTTTGCAGGCATGCAGAAATTCCTGGGACTTTACCTTAACTCAGGTCCTCCAGCCCCTTTCTAATCCTGTAATCTTTCTCCTCTTCTCTTTCTGCAGCCTGTGTAACTCCTTGCTGTTTCTTGAATACACAAGGATGTTCCTACCTAATTCCCTTTTCATTTGCTTTCCCAGTCTCTCTGCCCCTCCCAAGACATTTATTTGGGTGGCTTTATGCAGGTTTCTGTTCAAATATCACCTTTTTAGAGAGAATTTCCCCCATCTATTCTAAAATATTTGTATAATGCCCTCATTTCTGATTATCATCTGTCTTTTAAAACAGCCTTTCCCTCCTTTTTCATTTATCACTATCTGGTATATAATTTATTTATCAAATTAATTAATTTTTTCTAACTCCTCCCACTAGGCAGGAGGCATTCTGATAAGAATTGACACTTTGGTTCACTGTTGTAGATATCCAAAGCCCATTTGATGAATGGATAAATAAAATCTTAAACAGTCTTTAGAGGAAAAGCTAATAAAACTATAGTGGTTAGGAGAGTAGTTTCCAAAGTCAATCAATTGAATTTGTTATTTAACTTTGCTCCATCTAGTTTCTCATCTGTAAAGTTGTGCTGATGTAAGCACTTACGTCAAAGAAAAGATGGGTAAATGATTTACAGAATACCTAACACGAACTTTCTGGATTTCCCTTTCAGAAGTTTTTCCATTCTTTAAATTACAGATTTTGTTTACTTACTGCCTTCTGATTCCATTTACTTGCTGTAACATGACTTTCTTATCTGGGCCCTTTCAACTCTCTGCTGCCCAGAGACCACTGTGATTTTAGGAGTAGAGGAGATGGGATCTGAAAATCTGACAAACATAACCATATGACTCATAGAATTCAGTGGATGCAGCTTGGGCTTCTTGTGGGGATTAATAGGCAAGAGTGGGGCATTTGTGAAATTAGTTCTGATTATTCTACCCTTTCTGCAGAGTACCTTAGACTCTTCTTTCTATACTTCCTTCTAATCAAAACTCATATTGAAACTTGCCTTTCTGGAGGTACTGTGCTCAGTTTTCTAGTACATTGTTAACCTGCCAGGTAAAATAATTCATGCTTAGGCATTAGAGTTTACTAATGGCATATTATGTGATTTCTGTCAGTATTTGCATTTAATATAGAGGGACTGTTACCCGTAAATAAATCAAACAATGGTGAAAATAATATGAATTAACTAAGGGTTGCTTTATTTTTTGCATTCCTCTAGTCATTCTTGTGGGTTGTAGGTGACTCCAACTTTATCTGTAAGTTAGAACATTTCCAATTATGTCTTCTCTTTTTTTCAAGCATGTTGTACTTAACATGCATTTCTCTAAATAGGATCTTAGAGAATTAGAATTCAAAGGGATCTTAGAGATTATCTGGACCAGAGGTTTTCAACTATTTTTTCTTTCTTAAAGCAGCAAAATGCTTTTCTCATATGAAATGTTATGTGGAAACTTAATATACAGATTAATAAAAGCACAGCTGATTCTAAAGCCCAGAATCCAAGCCCTGTAGGTCTTCCTTTGTTGTCTGGGACAATCCCCTGAGGGCACTTTCATGGAACCCTTAGGGCTCCCCAGAGTGCTGTTTTAAAACCACTAATTTAGACCAATCCTTTCATTTTTCCAGCTGAGGAAATAAGCCCATAGAGTTTGTGTTTTATCCAGTGTTACAGGGTAAATTAGTTGGATTAAGAGCGATCCTCACATGTGCCATTCTTAGGAAAACACTGTTAGACAAGTGTGGAAGTTATTATTTTTTGGAAGTTCTTATTTTTGATGCAGGTCAATTTTACCATCTTATTTTTTTTGTTAATAAAATTCTATTTGAAACCTATTACATATGAGATATTTTCTATGGCTCTGATGCAAAGAAACGGGACATAACATGTTGCCTGTATAAAGCAAGTTGTCTAGTTGGGAAGATAAAACATGCAGTTATAAGTTATATAAAATTTAAATAAAACTTTAGGGTTTGAGATATAGTAAAACAATGTGGCATAAATTGAGAAAAAAATGATATCTAAACTCTAGTGGAGCTCAGAGGAGAGTGAAGGTACTTCATTTGGGCTAGAGAAATTTTTAAATGGGAGGTATGATAACTGAGTAGTACTTGGCTTAGAAAATAGGTATAAGGCAATGGAACATTATGAATAATAGCAGATCTTTGTTTACCAGCTCCTTTTCCTTCTTCTGTCTAGAATTGGGCAAGTTCTTGACCTCTGAGCCTGTTACTTCATCTGCAAAATGAGAATGCAAGGAATGTATGTTAACTAAGGACATATAAGTTGATTTAACTTCCACCTTAAAATGTCAGTGGTTATCACAATAAAAGTTTATTTCTTCCTTATATCAGTGTTTATATTAAACAGATTTCTAAGAGGTCACTCAGGGACCAGGTTCCTTCTTTTTTTTTTTTTTTTTAGCTTCAACTTCTCCTAGATCTTAGGAGCACTCTCCATTCAGTTGGCAGTAAAGAGAGAGTGAATTCCACTGATAAGGCATTTGAAGGCTGATATACAGCCCTCTGTAAATTTTTTTAATTGGCTAAAACTTAATCACATAGCTGTATTTAAACACAGAAGATATAGCTAAATTATATACACAATTTCAAAAGTAAATAAATTTTAAACCTTTACATGGAGGTCTGTCACCTTGAGCAGAGTTGTTGGGAAAGTTGTAGTAGACAATGTATATGATATGCTTAGTAGAGTGCATAGCACATAAAGGTATTTAAATATCCTTTTTAAAGATTTAGGGACATTTTATACGTTATGGAGTTCAATAATACATGATACTTTTTATTAATATGTTTTAAACCAGGTACAGTGGCATATGCCTTAATCCCAGCTACTTGGGAGGCTGAGGAGGGAGAATCCCAAGTTTGAGGCTGGCCTTGGCAATTTAGCAAGACCCTGTCTCAAAAAATGAAAAGGGTGAGGGATATAGCTCAGAGGTAGAATACCTCTGGGCTCAAACCCCAGTACCATTGAAAAAAAAAATTTAGGAGAAGTATCAATTCATTTTTGACTCTGGGTAATAATGATAACAAATGTTTAAAATGATTGTTCTTCTTGGTAATCTTTGTTTCTTTTTCTTTTAGCATGGTATTATTGCTACAGAAGATGAAGAATATTTTATTGAGCCTTTAAAGAACACCACAGAAGATTCCAAGCATTTTAGTTATGAAAATGGCCATCCTCATGTTATTTACAAAAAATCTACCCTTCAACAACGACATCTCTATGATCACTCTCATTGTGGGGTTTTGGGTGAGTGTGTAGGTTTTGGAAATAATATTGTATTGTATTGTCCCTTTCTCTTTCTTCTGGAAAATATAATAAGGAAATAATTACTTAATAATAAAAGTAAATAGGAATTTGAGTAATTAGACATATGTACAAGGCCCTCTTAAAAGTTGTCATATACCAGTAATTTAATTAATTAATTAATTAATTAAAAATATTTTTAGCTGTAGATAGACACAATACCTTTACTTTTGTTTTTATTTAGTTTTTTTTATGTGGCGCTGGGGATCGAACCCAGTGCCTCATACATGCTAGGCAAGCACTCTACCACTGAGCCCCAACCCCAGTCCCAAGTAATTTTAAATCAATCTGGAAGCTCTTTAAGAAGTCCTTAAATGTAATTCTGTATAAAATTTGACACTTTTTTTTTGTTTGAAGGAAAAAAGACATCATCTTATTTTATTCAGGTAATGGTTACAACTTGCACGAAGAAGTGTTCCATTGTACTCTGTATTATTTAGTTAGTTTGCTAGTTTCCTGCTAGTAGCAGGAATCTAGACACTTGAATAAGACTTGAAGAGTCATAAGGTAGTTTTCAAAGATAGCGATGGCACTGAATTAGGGAACTATGTGATACATGACAGAGACAACAAACCTACACTTTATTGATCAAGGAAATCTTCATGGAAGATGTGACTTCTCAGCTAAGATATGAGGTTTACCATATCCTTAGAAGGTAGTTGGGCAAATGTAGAATGATCGGTGACTAGACTGTTCCACATAGAGGAAACTGCATTTTCCAAGGTCCTAAGCAAAAGAGAGAATGTCACATTCCAGAAACTGACAGTACATGTACTTGGATATTAGAATGTGGACTGGAGAGATGGAGATGAAGTTCATGGTGGTTGAGGGGTGTTGTTGTAAGAGATGAGACATGAGAGATAAGGTCAACATGAAGGGCTTATAAACCATATGAAGTAATTTGTTTACCCTGATATGCTGGAAACACACTAATAGGTTTTAAGTAGGAGGAATGACATAATCAGATTTATTTAAAAAAAAAAGAGTATAAGTAGCTGTGTGGAGACTGAATTAGAGGAGAGCAAGACTAGAGGCAGGAAGTTAGGAGGATGTTAACATAGTGATAGGAAAACTTAAGAGACAAAGGCCACTTAAACTGAATCCACTTAAAACATGAAACAAAATTCCTTATAATAAGTAAAAGGTTTGATTTAGTATTTATATTGACTTTTATTAGTCATTATGGAAATAAGTTTATTCATTATGGAAATTAGTTTATTTTGTCTTCTATTTAATAAAACTTAGGCCATAAGTACAACTGTATATAAATAAATTCCTTAAAAACTAGGATTCAAATATTTAGTTGTTTGTTTGAAGATAACTTCTCACACAAAAAAAATTTCAATATTTTATCTTATTCTGAAAGGCATCTCTTAATTTTGATATTCAAATTATTCTCTTTCATGGTGCCAATACATTATTTGAACTCTAGCAGACTTCATTTTTCAGTGGTTTAGGCATGAGTCAGACACTTACAAATTTTTATTGTTATAAAATTCTTCCATTTTGGGGGAAGATTTTCTTCTTTTCTTCCCATCTCTCCTCTGCACTATTGAGATGATTTCCTAAACAACCCTCCTCTCAATCCATTTCATGTATGAGCCCTAACACCAGTTTAATTAGTTCAGATCCTCATTATCTCTTGCCTGGACTACTGTTCTAACTTTCTAATGGGGCTTCCTGTCTCCAGGTTCATAGTCCTGTTTTTAGTCAACTCTGTCTCCTAGATCTGACCTGTCACACTTTTAGACACTTCACTGGCCTTCCCATTAGTGGTAATATGGTTGTAGTTCCCTGAGTTCCAGGAATTGTAACTAGATGCCATTGGAGAGAAAACTATTTTATGTTTAGTTACTTGTCTGGTCAAGAACTTGATTGTGATACTATCTCAACAGCATAGGTCAAGCAAGAGATAGGAATTTGTAGACATATATTGCCAATTAGCTTGTTATGAGTAATCAAGTTTATACCAAAATATAGGATATAAAAGCACTGTTGACACTAGATTCAATGATCTCATATCCAGATACGAATTTTTCCATTATAATTAGATTCAATAGATGTGTTTTAAATGATTTTTATGGAAGTAATATCTGTTCTCTTTGGAATATTTAGAGAATAGAGGAAAAAAGAAAAAAAAACATTAAAATGAAAATTATTGTTATTCTTGCATCCAGAGATAACTGAATTTTCTTTTAGTCCATCGACATAGATAACATTATGTCTCTATACCTGCATTATTTACTTATGTATCTACTAAATAAACATTCATTTAGCACTATGTGCAAAGCTATTCTAGGTGCTGAGGATGCATAAATAAATAAAGCAGAAAAGATTTTTACTGTCATAGAGCTTATATTCTAGTGAGGAAGGACAGTTAACTAAATAGGTAAATGAACTTTAATAAATACATGACCAACTATCAATAAATAATAAATGCCATGAACAAAAAATAAAGCAGGTTAATTAAATAATTGTGAATGGCTATATATATTCAAACATTTTGATATTGATCAAAATGTTAAAATCTTGTTTCAGATGTCAGTGACATCCATATGTTGGTTTTGAGAAAAAGTTACTGGTATATATGGTTATGGAGCAATTTCTTAACACCTCTGATCTATCTGAAATTAAATTGAGCAAAGCAAATGTATCATTTTTTTGTAAATTTTATTTAGCTGTAGATGGACACAATATCTTTATTTATTTATATATTTTATGTGGTCCTGAGGATCAAATCCAGTGTCCAGATGTATTTTTTAAAATATTTTTTTTAGTTGCAGATGGACACAGCTTTATTTTATTTGTTTGGTTTTTTTATGCAGTGCTGTGTATTGAACCTAGTGTCTCACACATGCTAGGCAAGTGTTCTACCATTGAGCCACAACCCCAACCCCCAAATGTCTTTTTTTTTCTTTACTTGTAGATGGACACAATACTTTTATTTTACTTATTTATATGTGGTGCTGAGGATCAAACCCAGTGCCTCACACATACTAGGCAAGTGCTCTACCACTGAGCTACAACCCCAGTCCAGCAAATGTATCTTTACTAATCTTTATGTTGGAGCAAAACAGATCAATCTTTTATTCTCATGTGCAGCTAAAAATATATTAGTTACAGATCATTAAGCTTAACATTAAGCAGTCAATTAACTATTTATAAAATGTAGATATAGTTTCATAATGAGCTAACCATTCTGTATTAATTCGGTTTTTAAAATGCAACTGAGCTCTCTTGATTTTAGTCATTCCATATGTCTGTATAAATAATATCAAATATATAATAATATTTGGTATATACAATGTGTCATTGATGGACAATCATAAACACAAAGATGTAGAATTTATCTTTAAAGAATTTGTAGTCTGATAGAGTGATAGCCAAGCAAACTACCAATTTAAAAAAATAAAAAGTTTTAAAATTATGACAATGAGAATGGTGATGTTGATAATAGCAGTGCCTTATACTGAATAGTTATCAAATGAGAACTAACATTGCTACCTGTTTAGTACCCAATCATGCTAAATTCTTCTTTTAGTACTTAAGATAAAGAGAAATTGAATACATTGGAGTAATGTTCAAAGGTTGGAAATTAAACTCATATTTAAACACTTAATCTGTTTAGCCAGAGAAAGAGAAAACTGGGCATGACTTGAATACATGAATGATTATATGATCACAGAGGACTAGGCAGGAGGAATTGGAGTTTTACTGATACAGGAAAGATTTGGCAGTTTCACAACAATATTGCCACAAACATTGTGGTTTAAGCAACAAATCTTTATCCTCTTATAGGTTTTGTAGGTCAGGAACCTATGTGGATGAACCATCTACTCAGCCTTAGACAGGCTGGATTCTCATCTGGAGAAGAATTTTTATTTCTTCTTTCCCATGGATCTTTGTAGTATTCAATTCTTTCTGGTTTGGGTAGCTTTAGTTTTTGGCTTGTTTGCCAGAGGCAACCTGCAGTTTTTTGCCAATGGTTCACCAATATGGTTGGTTGCTTTCACCAAGCCAGCAAGGGAGAGACACTAGACTGGTGCTACAGTATTATTTAACATAATTATGTAACATACATTAATTTAATTTTTCCTAACTATCTTTTTCAATAAGAAAGGTTAGAAGGATTTTCAGATCAAATATGATAATATGGAAGCTCTGAGTATGCAGGCAACCTCTATCTGCTCAAGTTTTTCAAATGAAGATGAATATACACAAGGCAGTGTTTGCAAATGCCATGGAACTAAAAGGTTTCTTTGTACTGAAGGATGTGTCATAATAGACACCAAATGTGGTTTAAAGCAAATTGTGTTGGAATCTTTCAACTCTTGTTTTAATGCTCCTTATCTCTAGACTTTGGAAAAGGAATACTTTGTGTACTCTGTTAGCATAAATAGTTACTGCAAAATTATGTAGAACAACTAATTCATAGTCATTTCAATTGTGATTTCTAAAATAATAGAATTGGTTTTAATTAAGATAGTTTAATAAAAGCATTTTACTTTAAAATAAATGCTCAGAAATAACTTAGGAGTAGATTTTTGCTGTATCATTGTTGTTTTTTTTTTTTACCAGAACTACTTTAGTCTGTTTCTAAAGTTTATGCCTTAGTTGCTTTTAAAATAAGTGATTCTTTAGAGTATGTATTTTAAGTTTAAAAGTATTATGATATAATTACTCACTGGAATAATAGGAAATGATTATTTGAAAAATGTTTTATTATTAATTCATTTACAGATTTATTTTTATGAGTATTTGAATGTTATTCTTAAATTTTTAAAGATACTACTGCATTTCTTCATTCCCTTTCTTAATTTTGAAAAATCATAATACATTAGAAAATTTATGAGAAATTTATCTAAATGAAAGATCTATAAATAAGTATGTTTAATTAGTGATTTTATCTGAATTGGTTAATTGTTCTTATTGTAGACCTCACAAGAAGTGGCAAACCTTGGTGGCAGAATGAAACATCATCTGCTTTTCCTTCTTTACTGCCAACTAATGACACACATATTCACCACAGACAGAAAAGATCAGTGAGCATTGAGCGGTTTGTGGAAACATTAGTAGTGGCAGACAAAATGATGGTGGGCTACCATGGCCGCAAAGATATTGAACATTACATTTTGAGTGTGATGAATATTGTAAGTTTGAACTTTCTATATACTGTTTTACTTAGTAGTTTGTTGTACTTTGTACTAAGGTCATAGATTTTTACTAGGAAATAAATGATTATAAGAATTCATCTGTCTAAAATTGTAGAGAGATTTTTTGGTGCTTGAGATTCAATTCAGGGCCTCATGCATGCTAAGCATGTGCTCTTATCACTGAGATACAGCCCAAGAATTGGCCTATTAATGTTCAAGTTCCATAGAAAATAAACTTAAAGATAATCTTATTGTTATTTTTTAGATGATATATTTTTAATGGGTTATTAAATCTTGTTTAAAATGTTTTCTATAACTTGAAATATCAGCTTACCCTTTAATTACTGTGTTATAGTTCATCTCTAGGAAAAAATATTCCTTGAGGTAGACTTGTAAAATCTTTTACCAAGGCATCTTGAATTTTAAACAACATAGCATTAAAAATATCTTTTCATATATACAATGGGCATACTTTTTTTAATCAGATAGAATCAAACTATGATCCTATGATTTTTGTCTGACTTTGTGTCTTTTCTTATTTTCTGGAGGTCAGGTTGCCAAACTTTATCGTGATTCCAGCCTAGGAAACGTTGTGAACATTATAGTGGCCCGCTTAATTGTTCTCACAGAAGATCAGGTAAGAAAGAATTAGATTTTAAACCTGAACCTCGTAGGCTATGGAGTTATTTATTATTAAATAATATATTTCCTTATTTGTCCTCTTAAGAAGTCATACTTGATTATGATTTTTAGCTCTAAACATTTAATGTTTTAAGCAAATTTTAAATACCTCTTAAGTCTTGTTAAAACTATGTATATATATGTGTGTGTGTGTATATACATACACACACACATATGTATATATGTGTATTAGCTATGTTTTAGTATAAGGATGAGCATTTGCATGGTATACTTTATAACAATGTTTTTTTTGGTTTTGTATGCTGATAGCCTCACATATGTTCACATTATAATTAAAGCTGTAACTGGAAAGAATGTTCAATAATAAACTAAATGAACTCTAGGTCAGATATTATAGAGATCAAAATTGGCATGAGATTATTCCTAGAAACCACTGCTTCTAATTATAGTCCCACTTTAGTCTTCAAAAGTTTTAACAACTGACCTTAGTAATTTGTTTGGAACATTTCTGGTATGCATGTTGTATTGCAGCCAAACTTGGAGATAAACCACCATGCAGACAAGTCCCTCGATAGCTTCTGTAAATGGCAGAAATCCATTCTCTCCCACCAAAGTGATGGAAACACCATTCCAGAAAATGGGATTGCCCACCACGATAATGCAGTTCTTATTACTAGGTATGGTTTATTGCAAGTATTTTTCCTTTGATTATTGTTTGTTTGATATTATAACTATATTTAGCTCTATCTGAAGCCTCATTCAGGTAATGAGGATAGAAAAAGCAAAATGGCTATTTATTTTTTACTACTGAGAAAGAATGTATTCTTAATATGTTGACATTAAATGAACCAAATAAGAAACAAGAAGAGATTAAGGTTTGACCTAGAAATTTAATAAATAACTTTCCTTCTACTGATTAAGTCCTACTCATAATGTTTAATTAGAAGCACATTTATGATTGATTAATTGAACAAAATACTTACTAAAAGCAACATTTAAAAGTATAAAAAATATGTATTTTAAAAATAAAGCTGTGACTCTAGGTTATAAAATATATTAAATATTCTTACCTTCAAGTTGTGTTAGTTTATGTAAATTTATTAAAGGGGAGGAGAATAATGGTAGTTATACAATTTACTTATATGATTATCTATTTAAATTTTAATTAAGGTATATAAAGAAGATTTATTATATTATGTGTTAAACAGCTTTGCTCTCAAGCAAAATTATTAACTGGACAATAACTGAAGGAATTCATATATTGATTTCTAGTTTTAAAAAACTACATTCAAATGTTTTCTTATTCTTAAAGCAACAACTCTGTGAATTAGATAGTATTATCTTCCTTATGTTAGAAAAGAGAAAACATTCAAAATAGTTAAGCATGTTTCTCAAGGTCACTCAGCTAAGTGAAAGAGGACTCAACTCTGATGATCTTGTCTTCCTTGACTATCCTATCTTAGTTTATTTGTTTACTTAAGTTTTAGAGAAACTGTTTATGTTGCCCAGGCTGGTCTCAGACTTCTGGGTGGAAGCCTCATCTTCCTGAGTAGCTGTAACTTCAGATGTGCATTACCATGACAGGCTTTGTTTTAGTTTTTTTATATTCTAATTGTGGTTGGTCAGAAACGTTATGCTTAAATAATTTTAAGTCTATCTTTTGACCTTTTTCCAGTATTTAAAAATAAAAGACAAAATAAAGTAACAGTAGCAAGCAAGCAAAGTGAAAACACTATTCTGCCTTGGCTGAGTGAAATAGCTTTTGTTACTTTAATTATTTCTCATAATTTTGCAAGGCAGTATTTACCAGATGCATTATCTGTGGTGTGCTCATTGACTCTATGTTAAGTTCTATGGATGGAGTATAAAGTACATGGGATCAGAATCTTAAACTGAGTAATATAAGTTACTTCAGTGTAATTTTTAGAATAAATTCTCTGTTTAATGAACTGCAGAATTTAAGTTTCTGAATCTGTTTGTTTGTTTCATTGACTTCCTCTACTTGGCATTATAAACCAGAAAATTTTGTTTATGACAAGTTTGCTGAAAAAAACAACATTATATGGTTTTATGTTCATACGTATTGACACATTAGTCTGATTAATTCTGCAGTTGCTGTGAGTCTTGTAGTCTGGAATGTTCCTAATATATACTTAAGGAGTTAAAAATCTAGGACTTGTGCTAATGAAAAGCTTTGTGTTTAAAAAAAAAGTTAGATATGATTAGTGTTAATGAAATTACTAGAGGAAAACATCTAATATATATAGTTTACAAAATTTCACATGGCTTTTTTGTTTATATTGTAAAACACTTCTTCCCCCAAAATGAGACTTCACATTTTTATTTTGTATCTATATTGGATTTTTATCTTTTGCATCAAATGGCAGCAGTTATACCAAGGGTGCATATTTGTAAGTATTCAAGTAGTGAGCTAGATCTGGGCAGTTAGCCACCCTTTCTTTGCCCTGACAACATTCAGCTGTACACTTTGTTACTCTGAATTGGCCCAGATATTTTTCTAATTTTTTTACAGAGCTCTTCCTTGCTTTTGTAAGCTACTTTGAGTGCCTTTTTTGATGTTTGGGATTTTAACATAACATTTTCTCCTTAATTTGTCTATAATGGTTAGACAAGTACTAGAAATGATGTTAGGATTAAATAGGACAGTTTAGAATTTGGATCTCGTATCATTTTAGATTGGCTAATGTAGTAGAGATAAGAAAAATGCCTCTTTTGTGACAATATAGAGTATTTAATTTAATTGTTACTAATGTCTCAAAGTAATTTTTAGCCTATTTAATAGTTTATAACAGGGCTACAGAGTGACTATTCGAAAGAGATGACTATCATCTTTGTTATTTAGATAGTTATTTTTCAGAGAATGGAAGGAAGTTATCAATGTTCAACTCTCCCTTATATATTTTTATTTGTAAAACTGAGTATGTTTAAATCATAGTGCTACTTTTAATAAAAATAATTCTGAGAATTCTATAGATGATTTTTATATTAATGTTGAAAACTGCTTCATATGACTCACTTATCAATATTCAGTGTTGTGACCCCTCCTTTTATAGTTATTATAGATAATAATTTATTTTTGCTCAAAATATCAGCTCACTAGGAAGAATAATATGTTATTATATAGGAAGTATAAAGGTTCATTAGGAATTCCAGGAGAAAACTGATAGTTTATCTCCCAAGGCCAAATTTTATCCCAAGGCCTTAAATGTTATCTCCCTTTAGCAAATGATATCTTATTATCTTTTTTTATTGATTTAAATTTGAAACTGTGCTCTGCACAGTTATCAGATAATTCTTACTAGACAGAAAGAAAATAAATTTATTTTTGCTTTTTTCTGTTATTAATAGTATTTAAGCAACATCAAAGAACATATTACAATTATTTGTGTATACATATACTTTTTTATGCACATATATTTCATATGTCCACATACATATATGTCTATGTATATACATACATATACTATATGGATACACTATTTTACATATAGCTAACAGAGATTAATGATATAAAATATAGTGAAAAGTCTGTTTTTACCACCCAGATTTAGCAAATATGAACATTATGTAGCTTTGTGTCACTTCCTAAAATGGTATTCAGTTACCTCTCTGTGGTGTAGTAACTGCCTCAAATCTTAGTTCTGAATACCAGGGTTAGTGCTATAATATAACTGTGGAAATATGGCAATGCTTCCATATATTGTTATATTCCACAAATTACATTATATTTTAAATAAACATGAATAGTAGAATAATGAAACTGGTCTTTCATTTTTTTGTTGATTTTTAATGTAAGATATCAGTATTAATAACTTGTATTGTTTACTTCCATAGAATAGATTTATTGAATGACTTAACAGTTGATAGTATTTACCTAAATCAGCTTGATGTTTGGTAACTCTTTTTTAAACAATGCAATATAACAATATATAACTACTGGGCTGGGGATGTGGCTCAAGCGGTAGTGCGCTCTCCTGGCATGCGTGCGGCATGAGTTCGATCCTCAGCACCACATACAAACAAAGATGTTGTGTCCGCCGAAAACTAAAAAATAAATATTAAAAAAATTCTCTCTCTCTCTCTTTAAAAAAAAATATATATAACTAGATCAAGAAATAATAATACTTTGTACTTCAAACTCTAGAAACATAATTTAAGAGGGCAAAGTAGGACAGTATTTATACAGTTAAGAAGTTACTTGTTTCAAAACTTTCAAGTTATGTTTATTAATATTTGTATTTTGTTGCTTTTATAAATTGTTTTTAATTGACAAAAATGTGTATATTTATTGTGTAGGGCATGGTATTTTGACACATGCATACATTGTGAAATGTCTAAATCAAACATTAGATTGGCATGCATTATCTCACATACTTCATTAAGCTTTGTACTGACAAGCTGCAAACTAACAGATGCTTAGGAATAAATACTGGCAATTTGACATATTATTTAAGTTATTTTTATTTCCCTATAAAGTCAGGAAATAAGCTTAAAATCACCATAAGTTTAAAGTCAAGCCAATTTCTAAATTTATTTTGTTCAAGAAATCCATACACAGTCTGAAATTCATTAGGAATTTAGAGACAGTTTGTACTAGTATTTATGATTAGTAATTCATGTGAACAGACTAGTGCATACATTTCTTAGCGTTCTGTTCTATGAAGTATGAGAAACATTATTTTTCCATTTTTTAAGATATTAATACATAGTCATTTATATTCTTAGGGTAGGAATTGGAGCCTCAATCCTGTTTTTGGGCAAAAACTTTATTGAAATCTAATTCATAGACCACATGTTTACCCATTTAAAGTACAATTCACTGTTTTTTAGTATATTCACAAGGTTCTGGAACCACCACTATAATTAATTTTAGAATGTTCTCTCTGTCCTAAAGGTTTCCCTTTATTCCTAGCCCTTCCTTTGCTCCAGTGTAGGCTACTTCTGATCTAACTTTCTGTCTGTATAGTTTTGTCTGTTCTGGACCTTTCATATAAACAGAATTATATAATATATGAATATTTTTGTGTGATTTACTTCTTTTACTTAGCAAAATGTTTTAAAGGTTCATCAGTGTCTGGAATGTAGTAGTATTGCTTTTCTCTTTTTAATTTTCATTTTTGCAGTGCTGGGAATTGAACCCAGGCCTTCATACATGCTAGGCAGGAGCTCTACCCCTGAACTACATCCTTAGCCCTGCTTTCCTCTTACTAGCCTAAATTTTCAAAAACTCAAGGTACCTAACTTTTAAGAATGCCTTTGTTTATAGGCTTTTTCAGTTATTATACTTGAATGATCTTTCATTAGTGAAATCACAGGACTTTTAAATATATCTTAAAATCTGATGCAAAAATTGCACACAAAGTCAAAATAATTTGGTCTTTAATTAAAGTGGGCATATTTATCCTCTTAAGGGGTCATGACTGTTTACTTGGGTATTGCTGGATTATAAAGGAATTAGAATTTTCAATGTCAGTCAACCAATGTTTTTAGATAGGCATTTAAAAATAGCTATAAATATGGTTTCTTGGCATGTAATGATTTGATTTAAACAAGTTTTCTTAGTTTTTAAAGATAGTGTCTATTGGAATTATGTATTGGCTTCATAATTATATATGAGAACATATGGAAGAAAGGGAGATTAAATGTAGTACATTAA